CTTTTGACTTATCTTGCTTTCAGTGATGAATTTTTCAAGGCACAACCCTACTCGAAAATTCTGGGGTTTAGAAAAAACTTTTGAAACAAGAAAAATGTAAAAGTATTTCCATTTTTTTTCGTTTTCTCTTATTTTCGAAATTCTTTTAGCTCTTTTACCGGAAATCCCCTTTTTTAAAGTCTTTTAAGCCCGTTTTTTAAGCTGAAATTTTCATCAAAATTTCGAAACTCATCTCAAAATGTCTTTTTGAAGAATTTCGTATTTTGTTTACACTATGTATTCTATTCTTTCAGCTATTCTTTAAAAATTTGAATACTATTAGATTGGTAACTTGAAAAAGATGAAGTTGGATGAAGCATGCGAAGTATTAGACTTGTTCAAGTGAAGAAGAGCCTCAAATTTTTTTTCTATGGGAAAACACAGCATTTTTGAGCGATTTTTGGTTCCGCGAAATCTTTAAACACCCCGCGAATCGCCTTATTTTGAACTTACTCAGTTAATCAGTTGAATATTTTTAGTTGATTAGCTGAATATACTTAAAAGAATGGCAATAGAGTAAAAGAATTATAAAAGCAAGTCTAATACTTGGCATGCTTCATCCGACTCTTCTCGGGCTGACGATCTCAAGGAAGCAATCTTGCAAAACGCAACAACAAGCGAATACATTCGAAATATTTATCAAGCAGATTATCAATATCTGGGTTTTGCGTAACTTATGCCTACTTTTAAGGGACTACTTCTACTACCCTAAAGTCGCGAGTATAAGTTCTGTTTGGTTTTCGCATGCAAATTGACGGCTGTCTCCGGTGCGGTGTGTCGAGGGTTCGAACCCCGCTGCAGCATAACTTTTTTGCTTTTTAAGTTAACAGTTAACAAGAACAATAATAGAAGTAAATTTATTGAGGGTTCTAGCAATTTTATGCTGTTATTTGTTGCTCCGGGCGTGGCTCGGCGCGTCCGCCCTGCTCCTCTCCGGTGCTCAGTCTTATGGATCCCTCCCTGGCCTCTTCATGGCCCTCCCTGGCCTCTTCATCCGGCCAAAGTCCACGTCGACGGTCGAAAGAGATGCTTTCCAGCGTCTTCTTCAACACTATCGTCTGGATGTATCCATGCACATAACAAATAGCAATGGTGATAGGCTGTCAGCAATGGTGATAGGCTGCCAGCAATGGTGATAGGCCTGTAGTATCCCGCGCTCCAAGAACAATAATAAAAGTTTATATAACAATAAAAATGTATAAAAACCCAACAAAACGAAATTCAAAGCAATTAAAGCGAATGTAAATTAAGGCAGAACTTATACTCGGATCAACTTATACTCGAGAATTTAGGGTAATAGAATAGCATTAGATAAAGCTTGCCTTAATCACAAATTTTCCCTATTTTAAGTACTTGATTTTAGGTTTTGAATCGGACCAATTGCCTATTCATTAACCCATTAAAAACTTGTCTAAAGGCTGATGACTCAAAAAGTGACCAAGTCACTTCAGCTGAAGAAATCTCTTCTTTTTACCTGAAGCCCTGAAGCCCTGAAGCCCAGCTTTTTATCAAAAACTCTTTGAAATATAGTCTAGTTTATCAAAAAATCTGGGAAGAATTCATGGATTTCTTTTTGAGAAATCACCGTTCAAACTTTTTCCGAGAACTATCTTTCCAACCTGCTGCTAACTGCTAACTATTAAAGCTGCTAACTGCAACTGTTAAAGCTGCTAACTGCTAAAGCTGCTAAAGCTGCTAACTGCTAACTGCTAACTGCTTAAGCTGCTAAAGCTGCTAACTGCAACTGTTAAAGCCTGCTGCTAACTGCCACTTTTAAAGCTGCTAACTACAATTTAACCTTTCTAGTTGAGATTAAAACGTTCAATCGTTCAATCAGAGTAAAATCCTTTCCAGTTGAGAGTAAAATGTTCAAACCGAATACGTAAACAGGATAAACTGAATACGGAAACCCCACCGTCTCGGTAAAGTGATCAAATTTTAAAAGTTTATATGTTCTAATGTAAAATTGAATAGGCAAATGTTATTTGTATGTTTTTTAAGAGTTTATGTTGAAATCTCTTTTCATGGAGGCCCCAGCAAGTCCTCTTCCCTTCCCCCACCTCCTTTTAAGCCGATATTTCCTGCCCTATTTCGTAAAGTGTCCCTTTTCCTTTTCTTTTCTCTTTTACCTTCTGCAAGCCTTCTCTATTCTCCTCATCTTCCTCCTCATCTTCCTCTTCTTCTTCTTCTTCTTTCCTTTCCTTTCCTCTTCTTCTTCATCATCATCTTCTTCTTCTTCTTCCTCTTCTTCCTCTTCTTCTTCCTCTTCTTCTTCTTCCTCTTCTCCTTCTTCTTCTTTCCCTAGTATTTTGTTCGCAATTCTTTCTTTTCCTTTTCCATTCAAACTCCTCCAATCGACCTCCTCAAAATTGCATAAACTCAAAATACTAGGATGATTGGCTGTTGTTTTTGAATTGAAATTTTAAGAAATTTCAATACTTATTGATTACACGGCTCGTTTTTAAGGCAACGCCTTGACTTTTATGGGACAAGAGACGCATAGCGAAGAGACGCATCGAAGAGACGCCTAGCGAATAGCGTGTAGAATAATAGAAAATTAAAATTAAATGCAACAAACACTTTTTAAACTTAATTTTATATTATTCTAAACACTATTCGCCATGCGGCTCTTCGATTTTTCCCATCAAAGTCAAGTTTGTTGAGGATTTGTCCCATCAAAGTGTTTAGTTGCATTAAAAACGAGCCGTGCAATCAATAAGTATCGAAATTTCAAATTTAGCTTAAATCCAACTAATTTTTTTGTTTAAACAACTAAACAACTAAACAAATAATTGAAAAAAAGTTTTTTCAAACAATTAAACTTGTTGGGGTAGGCTAATTTCCGCAACAAGATCATTTGTGCAACTTGCCATAACTTTCTTCTAAGTGGACCAATCTTTATAATCTTGGTGTCATTTTGTTGCACTTATTGAGATCTACAAAATGAACCCAAATTCATAAAGCTTGGTGCACTTAGAAGAAAGTTATGGCGAGTTGCGCAAAAGAAATTTGGCGCAAAGTAGCAAGCAAGCAAAAATCACGAGCGCCGTCTTTTATACGCCGCCTTATATACGCTGCGTTATATAGTCCGCCTTATATACGCTGCCTTACAAACGCTGCCTTATATAGGCCGCCTTATATACGCTGCGTTATATAGGCCACCTTATACACGCCGCCTTATATAGGCCGCCTTATATACGCTGCCTTATATAGTCCGCCTTATATACGCTGCCTTATATACGCTGCCTTCCAAACGCTGCCTTATATACGCTGCCTTACAAACGCTGCCTTACAAACGCTGCCTTATATAGGCCGCCTTATATAGGCCGCCTTATACACGCCGCCTTATACACGCCGTCTTATATACGCCGTCTAGATATACAGCCGTTTAACTGTTTTAGTGGCAAATTCCCTTCAAATGTAAAGGTATTTCAATTTACTCGACGTGTAAAGAGGATTACTTGTAGCTAGTCGACCAAAAACGTCAATTAAACGAGTAGTTTAAGTTTTTCAGTTGCGGCCCAGTTGCGCAAAAAAAAATAGCGGAAATTAGCCTACCCCAACTTGTTTAAACAATTAAAAGTAGATCTAATCGACACGAATAATGAATTACAACAAAACGGTGGAAATTTTTACGCTTACAATTATTTACCCCCATTACTATTACCCAAATGTTGTAAAGAAGAAAAAACCCATAATAATGAGGAAAAAGAACCAAGTTTTCTAGCCACCAGGATCGAAACTTTGACCCTCCCCCCGCCAGACTAGGAGACAAGACTCCTATCACTATGACGGTCGGCTATGGTCGGCTATGACGGCTATGACGTCGGCTATGACGGCCAATCATTTTTCAAACAATTCTCTCAAAAAATTAGATTTACAATCATTAGTTTAAACAATTGAATTATTCAAAACTATTGTCTTAAACTACAAATTTCAATTCAATGCCTCTAAATTTCAAACTTTTTAACGTCTTTTCAATTTTGCTCGTCTTCTTTTCAAGTTCGTTCGTTCGTTCAATTTGAAGTTCGTTTCAGAGTTCGTTCAATTCAATTCCTTCAAAATTTGACTCTGATTTCTGTTCCCAATGCTCAACATGTTCTTTTGATACTTTCCGTTATGAAACCCCGATTTCTCATAACGGAAAAGTACTCACTTCCTCTGTTATGAGGGCTCAAATCTATACATGCACATTTACATAAATTCCTTGCTCCGTTCATTTCCGTTAGCGCTTACCGTTAGGCTCATTTTTGTATTTTAAAAAAACTATATGTAAATCACAAAACATTTGCTAGTTTGCTAGTGGCTAAACAAGACTAGTGGCTTCAACAAGACTAGTGGCTTTAACAAGACTAGTGGCTTCAACAAAACTAGTGGCTAAACAAAGCTAGTGGATAAACAAGACTAGTGGCTTCAATAAAACTAGTGGCTTCAACAAAGCTAGCGGCTAAACAAACTAGTGGCTTCAACAAAGCTAGCGGCTAAACAAACTAGTGGCTTCAACAAAGCTAGCGGCTAAACAAACTAGTGGCTTCAACAAAGCTAGCGGCTAAACAAAACTAGTGTCTTCAACAAACCTAGTAGCTTCACCAAACTAGTGGCTAAACACTTTAACGCCGATAAGCACTTGAAATAAGAGGCAAGATACAATGAAGTCTCCAAAACTTCTTGTCACACCATAAACTCGGCTAAATAACTTAAACGGTAGTGTTCTTTGTGGTGCTACTTTTAAATGTAAAAACATTTGTGACAATATCTCCATAACAGTAATATCTCCATAACGGTAATATCTCCATAGCATTTGTGACCTCATAACGAAAATGCGGATGAAATGAGAAATGGGCTCTCGTAACGGAAAAGTACCCAGCTTTTTTAATCAGTTTAAGTTCATTTTTCTAAATTCTCCTTTATCATTTAAAAAAATCCTTTATCAAACTTCAAAACTTGAAGATAATGCGACGATGATCGGTCTAGCCAACGACATTATCAACTTCAATGTTGGCGGGAAGAAATTCTCGACATTTCGAAAGACTTTCCCAAAAGATACACCATTTTACAAGGTTGAAAAGCTTTATGCGCTATCATTTATGATTATTTATATCAGAGAAAAGCATTTACTTGTTAAAAAAGAAAGGAATTACTTGTTAAAGAAGAAATTTTCATTTCAATTTTAAGTGGTTCGTCACCGGCACGAAAGAAGTTCCATTCGTGGTGAGGGAAAACGAATTTTTCATCGATCGTGACCCAAAAACGTGAGTTTTTAAAACATAAAAAGAGAGAAATGCTAAGAATTTTAAGAAAATCAAATGTTTCTCTTTAGTTTCTCTGTTATTCTCAACTATTTCCGCTTGAAAACAGCTGGTCAACTGTGGGAAGCGTGTTTGCCGAAAGATCCGGATAGGCTTGCTTTACTCACACAGGTTATTGGATGGATTGAATGGATTGGATTTCGTTCTCAAATACACTTAAATTAACGCAAGCTTTCACGTATACGAAAAGATTGAGTGAATTTTGTAAAAAGATTCAACACTGACTATGTAACAGACTTAGTAACAGACTTAGTAACAGACTTTGTTCCATTAAAATCGTTATCGAATTCACGGTGCTTGGATTTCATGGTGTAAGCAGATGGATGTGTTTAGATTTAGATGGATTTAGAGATTTAGATCTCATTTACAGTTAATTATAGATCTTTCAAGAAAGCTGATTCATTTCACGAAACCTGATATCATCGAAATACAGAACAAAAAATTTCAGGAAGCTGAATACTTCAACTTGCCACAATTGCGAGATCAGGCGATCAATTTACTGCAGAGTAGCTGCGAAGAAAAGCCGACAAATTACATTCATGAGGTACTGTTTGACTTATCGTATGGCTTAGGGCCTTCTACAGATCTTTGAAAGTGATCAGATCGGATCAAATCGGATCAGATCTTCTACAGATCAGTGAAAAGTTTTGTTCCCAACAAGGCACCGAATCAAGCTAATTGTTTGACTCAAGATCAAGTCCATCTTATAGAGTCGATCATGAGGATCTCGAATCTGTTTTTAGTTTTTCCAGAACGCTTCGCAAACACGAGATATTTTTCATAGACAATCACCTTGATTTTGAGCTATGAGGCCGGCTCTTATGCCCGCCTCTTATGGCCACATGCTCGTTATCAGGCCGTCACACGCACCCCACGGATAACTGCTACCTTGGTGTAATGGATAGTCTGCAGGGCTGCCAAACCAATTACGCCTTTTGTCCTCAAGTTCGAGTCCCACTCTCGTCAAACTTCTTAAAAAACTGTTTTCCTACATATTTGAAATGAGTTTTTGCACCGTTCTGTCACTTCAAATAATTTACAAAAGCTGGAAGCTTCCAAAGTATCAGAATCAGTAGATAAATATTGAAAAATTGATCATTTGTTGCCACATTTCTGAAAGCTACAGGCTTTTAGCTTTTATTCTTGAGCTTTTAGCTTTTAGCTGTTCAACTCTATTATCTTAAATTCTTGAAATCATTCTATTCAACTCTGAAACTAAATTCAACTCTATTATTCATTGCAAGTACGTAAGGAAACAGTTTTTTAAAGAAGGAAAATAAAGTTTAGCAAGAGTGGGACTCGAATTTGAGGGCAAGGAGGGTAGTAGGTTCTGTAGTCTAGTGGATAGTGAAATGAATTGACAGGACAAGTGGATAGTCCACTAGTGGATAGTTTAGTCCACTAGACCATCGAAGCATTTGCAAAGGGATGGTGTAACGGCTTCTTAACGGCGTGTAACGGCGTGTAACAGCCGAAATTTCGATATCTCGGGTTCTACAAAGACTAAAAACGGATTCGGAATCCCATGGAGAACAAGAAAATAAGATGGACTTGGTTTCAAGCCAAAAAGCCAGCTTGACTAGCTGCTTTTCCTTGTAAGTCTTCACGTGCATTGAAAGAATCTCTTCAGGTGTTGGCAAGGAGTTCGAGTTGTCCCCAAGGCTTTAACTCACCAATCGCCGATTAAAAATTAGATTCTTCTCATCAAGTGCCCAGATTTGAATAAAATATTTAAACATTCAAAATTTGAGAGCAAATTAAGCAAAGAAATTCAGCTATGCACATTTGAATGTTCAAAAAGAACAAGAAAATTTCACTCAACCATCACTTTTTAAGCAGATTTCCCTTTTGTGCAGTTTTTCGATAAGAAAAATAGATAAATAGCTTAATTTCAAATAGTCTGGTCGTTTGTGCAATTCGAAACTAAACAGCTATTCCTTTCCACAGATTTCGTGATCATTTTTGACCGTAAACTTATAGTCTTTGACGTGTTTGCCCTAAAATGAAGGTTATATTTTAAAGAAATGACTGAAGAATGAAGATTAAAGGATATTAAAAACAACAATTTCATGCAAAAATGCATTCAAAACTTTATAAGCGAATGATTTCTTGTCTTCTGATATGTTTATTGAAGAATTACAATCAAGTGAAACGAGCAAAACGATAAAAACAAAAAACCATCAAATCGTTTGTGCATTTTATCAATGTATTGATGATGTTTTGCTCATGGTAAGATGGTAATTTTTAGAAATCAGTTCTTGCATAGTTTCCAGATATTTCTGCATCGATTATTGTCATAGTTAGAGAGTTTTCGAAGCCTACGAATAACTTCTATTAGGTTCGTGAATTGAAAACTGCCGGACTTTGAACTAAAATTTATTCAACATAAAGCCATCAATTGATTCGAAATAATTTCCATTATTATTGACGACTTCTGCCCATTTTACAGGCAATTTGCGGATTCCTCTTTCGTAGTAGGATTTTGGTTTGTGTGTGAGACAAGTGTGAGACTCAAAAATCGAGGACTGGAGACTGGAGGCTGGAGATCCCAGTTTGAGCACTTTCTTCAAAAGAAACCCATTTTGGTGTCAATAGAAAAGTTGTAGAGAATCAAAAATGAGGCTTATAGCCAAATTTCCAAAAAGATACACTTAGTAGTTTCGCTTAAAATGCAAGTTTTGTGAAAATTCGTAAATTTGGCATTTCTTGAAAACCAGTTTTTGAATCGTTCTGCAAATTTGGCTATATGCCTAATTTTTGATTCTCTACAACTTTTCTATTGACACCAAAATGGGTTTCTTTTGAAGAAAGTGCTCAAACTGTGACATATGACCATAGCCGGCAGTTTTCAATTCACCAATCCAATAGTTAGAGAGTTTTCGAAGCTTACGAATAACTTCTACATAAAAAATTCGAGATAAATAATCACCCATAATCATTTTAAGGTAAGTGGGCAAGTGTTGGTTTGTACCCGTTAAAATAACAAAAAAAAAGCAATAATTTACATCATTTTACTTTTGAAAATACGGAGTAGTGGGCACGATGAGGCGTTGAATGATACTCCGCTCTTTGTTTGCTTCGAGAAACTCGTGCAACTCGTCGTCAACCTAGATTTTCAAAAGTTTTAGATATTCAAATAAAGAATCGTGCAATTTAGAAATTAGATAGCCTTAGTTTTTAGATATATTAAAGATTTCATCAAACTTTACATCTTCAAGAAGTGCCTCTCTCCATTGCTCGAGCTTTCTTGACAATGGGACTGGGTTCAAGTCTTTGTACTCTAGACATCTAAAATTAAAAAATGAAATATTGAAGGGCATATATTTGTTTTTCTTCTACTAAAATAGATTTTTGGTGTTTTTAGGCTTACTTGCAATCGCAAATAGGACACTTTGATGATGTTTGAAACCATCGCATCATATGAGCCCCGTGGCCGCCGTGCTCGCAACGCTAAAATGAATCGTTAAATTGGATGTCTGCCTTATCAACTCTGTTGTATCTAGAAGTACAGTGCTTTGCTTTAGAAGTACGCTTGTGCCCAAGTTTGATTACAGTATGGGAAAGCAGAGCTCTTAAAATCACGTGTCATACAGGATGCGTGAAAAGTTCTGTCGTCTCCTCAAAAGACCACTTTTACAATGTTTTATGCAGTTTCCAAGACTCAAAACCTACAAAATTAGATTTCTCAAGTATTTTTACACTAGAAACTTGTTTCATCTCTTCTATTTTAACCATATAAAAGGTTTTATAGAGCTTTTTATGACAACATTTGAGTTCACAGGCCAAAATCGCTTTCCTAGCTTCGTAGCAAATTAGAAATTGGTATTTTCAAAAGGTTTTTAGTAACTATTTCTCTATAAAAACAGTTTTATAATTTATTACAGTTTTGAATTTGCATTTGAGCCTTTTCATCCCGATTTAAGGTCGCTTTTCAGATCGGCTTGTGCAGTTTTAAGGTCTAATGTAATTTTGATCACCTTTTGCGAAAAAATTCGGATTGTAGAAGCAAATTTCATACGGAACTATGGCTAATCAAATGTGAAAAATGTTAAAAATGTTTTAATAGCTAAATAGTCATTTAAAAGTGTTTAGAAAAGCTATTTTGTGCTGCGACCAGAGGGTATCTTAAATGCTGTTCTAAAAAGTTCGAAAAAACCTTTTATATGATTAAAATAAAAGATATGAAACAATTTTCTAGTGCAAAAATACTTGAGAAATCTAATTTTGTAGGTTTTGAGTCTTGGAAACTGCATAAAACATTGTAGAAAGTGGTCTTTTTAGGAGACGACAGCACTTTTCACGAACTTGAGTTTGATCAACTCAAGTGGCTATAATTCCCGTTTTTAGTCTTATATTTAGATAAACATGTAAACTCACCAAGCAAAAAGCAAACGCATGAGCAGCCGCATGTCCCATATGGTGATCATAGCCGACAACCGGTGTACCATAGCTTCGCAAGCAGATCGCGCACTTCGGATACGGTTTTCGGCACAACGGCATCGGGCATGACATTGGACGAGCAACTTTTGGCTAAAATATTTGCATATCTTCATGTTTTTTTCAAAGTTATCTCACCATTTGCTCATCCTCTGGATTGTAAGCTTTCGCGTGTGCATGTGGCCCTGCTCTCTTCTTCGTTTCGGCGTTTTCCCCAAAATCTTCATTGAGATTTTGAGCCTCCATTTTCTCGGCAGCCAACTGAAACGGTTTTTTAGCGAAAATACGGAAAATTTCTTACTTTTTCAAGCATCTCATTTTTCTTCACAGCATCTTTTTCCTGTTGAATCCGTTCGGCTCTTTCGCGTGCACCAACCACCGGCTCAAAGCAGAAACCGCAAGAGATTGACCACTAAAAGAAGCTTTTATTTTTGTCTAGCTTATCAATTAGGATTTAAAACTTATTTTACAACTTACCCATGCATCTTTTCTCTGTTTCGGTGGGTACAAGAGTCCATGCAAAGCACATCTCATAATGTGCAAACGAGCCGACGTGAGCACGGTTAAATATCGATCGATGATCACACGCATTCGACCCTCGTAGAGTTTGCTGAAATAGAGATGATTATGATGATTTTCTGTAGTTCACCAGCTGTTTTTTTTAAAAAATCACCATTTGGAAACTTGCATACGAAAGCTCTCCTTTCCTCCATTCTTTCCAAAACTCTAGTCGGCTTTTTCAGAAAATTCGCAGATTTAATACCAAAAACGTACGAATTAAAAAAAAATTTCATTTGCCTTTCTTTCTCACCCCTGATTTTCCTTAGTTCGATGCTTTGCCCTCTGTAAAACGCAAAAGATGAAGCAAAAATTGTGGTAACAGACACACAAAAACTCACAAACCAACAGAAAATTTTTCAAAATGATAATTTAGCAGATCTGGTAAGTTCATCGTAGAGCTTACGGAAAGTGTGACTGATTTTCTAGATTCCTTTTTAAAAGCACCCCTTTTTATAGCTCACTCATAAGCGACTTCATGATCCAAGTATGTCTCTGGGTAGATATCAGCCAATCCCGGGACGCCTGCCTCGATGATGTGCTCTTGGGCCTAAAATGATGATCACTGTTCAACGCAGATGGAAGTATAGCGTACAAAATTGTAAAAAGATTGTAAGAATTACAATATCTAGATTGTAAGAAGAATTACGATACTATAATACTTTATAAATCTTCTACACATCTATCTTTCTACTTCTACAATGTAAAGCTCTCAATTCTTAACGAAACTGAAACTTCGGCTTCAGCTTAGCTTTTTTTTGCTTCAGCCTACTGCTTTAGTTTTAGCTTTTTGCTATGTTTTGCCAAAGTTACTTCGTTTTCGTTTTCTAAAATGTGATATGGTTTTTATCCGATCTACATACGTTTTTTATCTTTCAGTTTATTTTATTACCTCTCAGATTTTATAAAAACTAGAATTTTACTGAAGAAATATTACTGTGATTATTAAAGGTTACCAAATTTTCAAACAAAGAAACAACACTCACCATTTGCGGATCATTTACGGGCGTCGCAATGCATTCCCCGGTCAAGAACAGAAACGATGCCAGTTGACAGTCTTGGGTCGAGTCAGCAAAACTAAATTTGAAAGTAAATCAAAGTCAAATCAAAGTAAATCAAAGTAAATCAAATCAATCAAAGTTTTTTTTTGAAAAATCTCCGCGTGTGACCCCGTGTGACTATTATTGATACAGCTTAAGGCAACGGTGGAGTTATTATTTTTTTTTTCTCTTGATGGGTCAACAAGATTTGGAAGTGAGCACAAAAAAAAATGGATTTGAAACGGCTCTAAAACGACTGAAATTGACGAGATTCCACCTCATATGATATCATTTGTAAAGAATGGGGAGAAAAATTGAATCGTATAAATCGTATAAATTGGGATTCGGAATCGAAAGAATCGTGTTCGATCCATTCGACTCAACAAAAAAAAGGAAATGAAATTCCTGATCCCCGTTGCGCTGTGCTTGGTGGCCGTCTGTGTTGCGTAAGTGTAAAAAGTTTCTATTTCAATTGACTTGCTAAAGTTTTTTTTTAAATCTCCAATAGACCCAATTACCGTAAATACTGTAATAGTACCCCAGCCCCATAATTGCAGTGTTGCGTAGTCTAGCTGTTGCGGTGCGGAGTGTTGCGTAGTCGAGCTTTGAACGAGTTTTTCTCGACACTAGTTTATGCTACAATGCGCGCTTAGGTATCAAAAAATAGCCCTGAATTTCAGCTATTTTTTGATACCAAAGACGCATTTTTTGAAAGTACGGGTGCTTTGCAAAAAAAAAGAAATACTAAAAAACTTTTGCGACTACGCGACTGTACGAGGCGGGTGGGGTACTATTACAGTATTTACGGTATGCTCTTTTGATTTCATTCATTTTTTCCATAGACTTAATAAAATGAATAGCCTCAATAGTTAAATATAAATAAGAAATTAAAATACTATCTCTAAACAGTTTTACTTCAAACTTAGGTGTTGCAGATTTGTTAGCCGTTGACTTAGAATCTGTTAATATGGTATTCAAATGAGAAAATGAACTTTAGCCCACCTCCACCACCACCTGGAGGTTGGTTTTACCTTTGGGCTGTCGATTTTCTGTTTAATAGTTGCTTAAAGCACTTTTAATAGTTGATTTATCATTTTTTAATAATCTTCTACTGATTATTTGTTATTTCGGACCTTTACGATTAAAGGCGGCGGTAGCGATTATCGGCGGAGGCCAAATTTTTGATCAACTTGCCGCCCGATTTTATATAAGTTTATGTTAATAACTTTTGAAAAAAACAAATAGTTTCTGAAAGGTGGCGTTCTAAGCTATCTAAATCTTATTAAAAGTTTCTGATCTGACAAGTTTAAGATGTTTAAAAATGAGCTGCAAGTTGGCCAAAAAAATTGGACCTCTCCGATAATCACTATCCCCCGCCGTTAGCTGTAAAGATTCAATAACTTATTGACGCCTTAAAGTACAACTTTTAGGCCAACAACCACCTCCACCACCTAGAGGAGGTTTGTGAATATAATTAAACGTATTTAGCTCTCTTAGCTTTAGTTTTAGATTTAGTTTTAGATTTAGACCTAGATTTAGCTCGGATTTAGCTCGTATTTAGCTCGTATTTAGCTCGGATTTAGCTCTTAAACGATCCTAGCCTTTCAGTTGAGAATCTTAGCTTAACTAGTATTTGAAGAAGTCTAACTTTTCATTCTAGGTCAACCACCTCCACCACCTGGTGGTAATGGAGGACCTCGACCTCCACCACCCCCACCACCAAGAGGAGGTTTTTGTTGATTAGCAAGCTATTATTATGAAGCATTCTTTAGGCTCACCTCCACCACCTCCACCACCCCCACCAAATGGAGGTTAGTAGAACTTCTTGTCTCTTTCATTTTACCCGATATTTTGAATTTGAAGCTTCAAAAGTTTTGTGAGTTAAGAGATTTAATGTTTCTAGATTTGATTTTGCTACGGTATCTAAGCTTTTCATAGTAGAACGAATTCAATCTTTGCTCAAGCCTCAATTTTCTCTGCATTTAATGTACCAATCACTTTTTAGGATCTCCACCACCCGGTTCTCGACCACCACCACCAACTGGTTAGTTTAAAAGAAATCTAAGTGACAAGGCTGCAAGTTTAATGAAATATCAATGTCGGTTTGTTTAGTTTAATCATAGATAGATCTTGTTGTCAAAAAGGAAAATATTGTGGGGCATTTGATCCGCGCCCTGCCCCTTTTACCATTGGCAAACTTTGAGCTGAAATATCTAGGTGTCAGGCTGCCCAATTTAAATATTCTTGATATCATTAGATGCGCCAAGTCTTTCTCTATCGATTGGTATAAAAACTATTTAGATTGGACAGCTCAACACTAAGATATTTGAGCTTAAAGTTAGATTGCCAATGGGAAAAGGGGCGGGGCGATTGTGGAACCTTTTATACGCCCCCCCCCGCCATTGGCAATCCAACTTTAGGCTCAAATATCTTGGTGTTGAGCTGCCCAATCTAAATAGTTTTTGTACCAATCAATAGAGAAAGACTTGGCGCATCTAATGATAACAAGAAAGTTTAAATTGGACAGCCTGACACCTAGATATTTGAGCCCAAAGTTTGCCAATGGCAAAAGAGGCGGAGCCTAGATCAAATGTCCGATGACCAAATGAAAATGCTCAATAAGAGCTGCAATGATTTTTATTTTTAATTCTAGGTTCTCCACCACCTCCACCACCGAACGGAGGTTAGTTCTACAGTAACTTTCTTTACTGTACTACAGTAACATTCTTTCTACAGTAACTCATTAGTTTTTGCAGGATCCCCACCACCCGGCTCTCGCCCACCACCACCACCAAACGGAGGTCTACAAAAGTTTTGAGTACGATAACTGAGTATCAACTTTTAGGATCTCCACCACCCGGCTCTCGTCCTCCTCCATCACCAACTGGTTAGTTCAACTCAACGATAGTAATTCATATATAGCCAAAAGTTTACTAATAACAAGCTTCATTGAGCTATAGACGTAGATCATATGTCAAAAGTCGAAAGTAAACTATTTCTGGCTTAACTTGTACTAATCTCGACGTCTTTAGGCCGCCCTTCACCCCCACCGAATGGATCAAATCCTCCGCCACGCCCAACCGGAGGCTCTCCACCACCAAGTGGACCCTATTAAACGAATCGTTTGGGTCAAATAAAGCATTGTAAAGTTTAAAGAAGTTAAACACCCACTTCAATAACACTCGAATGCTGTCAGGATGGGGCCCAAGACCGAGAAAGATCAGCTTGTTCAAATCGTTTGCCACTTCCATTTGAGTGCATAGAATTGAGAGAAGTTCGAGTCGTTTCATGTACATTGCACAAAAAGCGATTCGCAAGACGAAGGGGACACTCTGGAATTGAATGCTTTGGTTGAGTGAAGAAAAGTTTACTCTGTTAGAAAAGTTTATGTTTTTTGTTTTTCATTTGTTTTTAACTATTATTAAACTCTCTTCTATTAGATCTGAAAAGCAAAAAAGACTTGCGAATCTAGGAAAGGAAAGGATCTAGGTTCAAGAGTGGATTGCTAAGAACTTTCCAGATTGGATCACCGTTCATGTCAGCTCATAGACTCCTGGTGAATGGTTATCGAAATCGCTTGATCTCAACCCTCTCGATTATTCTATTTGATCCATTCTGGAGACAAAGGCTTATGCTAAATCCCACACATCAATCGATTCTTTGAAACGCGACTTGGTTAATAAAGAAGTGAAGGAATTGCCAAGAGAGTCTAGAATTCCGGAGAGAGGATGAACCAACAACCTTTTGTTTTTCGTGCAATTGCTCTAACCACTGAGGTATTCGGTACCTTAACTTGCCAAGAGAAAGAAGGAAAGACAAATTTGAAATTTAAGTTAATTTATAGGTACTTTTCAATTATACCCCACAAAATTTCCTTTTTTTAAAATCTCTTCACGATTCAACACGAACACCTTGTTCGTGTTGAGAAATTGGTTGAGAAGGAAGATTGGTTGAGCGCCAAAAGGGATGAAGTAGAGAGGAGTGGGGGGAAAAGGAAGAGCAGAAAACGATCAAGAGATTTCACGGAAAAAGGGCTCGAGTCAGAAAGAAGGAAGAGCACAAGCGTACGAAGAAATCATTTTGGGCAAGTTAGGCTCTTAATTTCTTCACGATTCAACACGAACAAGGTGGCCATTTTGCATTGATTTGCTCCAAAATCCAATTGTAGAAGCTTTCTTTTCTGATTTCGGTTCTAACCATAAATTCAGCCAGATAACTCGAAATGAAGTCGACTATTTTTAAACAAGATGCCTTGTCTGTCGTCTGTCCAATCTCTTTTCGACAACCAGATTTTCCACATCATCACCGATTCCGTATAACTTCATTGTATGTCCTTGAGAGCAAAACCGTGAAGAAATCGAAAGAATTCGCTTGTCTTGGAAAAAGGAGATCGTCTTGTCTACAGATTTTGAAAGCGAAAACATAGAGCCGCAGCGAAGCAGCCCAGAATACAGATAACAAGAATAAGAAATAACGATTGGCATTGCTTGGAAATTGCAAGTTTGTCGTGTCGAAGTTTGTCGAATCGAATACAAATGTTAGTTACTCCAACTGAAGGTTAAATTAAAACGCAATTTTTTTGAGGCTTTATTTAAATTGATTTACGGCAGCTTTTGTGGGAATCTAATTGAATAGTTATTTTTGAATATTGAATAGAACCAAGTTATATTTATATTTAAGTTAAGTTCATCAATCAAGAACAAAATTCCCCCTTACCATATCCAGCGCCAACGTTCTCCTGTGCTCCTCAGCGTGAGCCGTATCCAACACCATTGCCATAAACGTTAAACAAGCGTAGAGCTCCGGTTGAGCATTAACTGAATCACTCAATCGTGAAAAATTATCTGTATAACGATACCTGAAGAGTACTGCTTATATTTGGCCAACCATCGCTTGTGCCCAGTGCTATAGTCCTAAAAATATTGATCTATTTCTAACAATAAAATCTCTCTAACCTTTGAATTCCTCTCCTTAAGTTCCTGCAAATCTTTGAACCGAGACCACATTTCGCTCATAAAATGGCATTGACCTAAACACTTATTCGTAAACATATTCAATTTCTTATTCCAGTACAGTAGATCGTTACAGATGTTTAGATCTTTACAGTAGAAGGTCGAGGGTTTCCCCCTTGGCCTCAAACTCTTTCCCATTCTTTCCCATTCATTTCTTTACTTTATTTTTACACCAACCAATCGGTCCTCCAGTCATATCGTCGATTGAGCCAGGCGTTTGCTTTCCATAAGCATTACTGATCTCTTCGAACATCTGAAAGAAGTAAACGATGAAGAAAATATGAAGAAAAGTCGTAAATTTGAAACACTAATAGAGTTGATGCTTGCTAGATGCTATTGCTCAATTTTCATGAGCTCAATTGAATACAATATCACAAATTGAGTTACAAAGTTTTACCTCTCCAACAGCTGTGTGTGCTCCGTATAACATCGCAATCAACAAGCAAGTGTAGGGCCGAAAATTGTTGCTGTTCTTGTTGAAGTAGATTTTTGCAAGTTTTCGAATAGCCGTTCTCTTGAATGGATTCGGCATGCCGATTGATCGAAGAATCGCCATTCTTTCAGGACCGGAATAGATCTGAAATGAACAACACTTTACAACGAAAAAGGCAACAATGGGATGTGGTCAAATGCAAATGAGATAAGTCATAGACCATTGGACGCAGAATTTCACGCTGATTCCGAATCTAAATCTAACAAGAGAAAGGCAACAGTAGAATGTGGTCAAATAAGATGAGCCATTGGACGCAGAATTTCACGCTGATTCCGAATCTGCTTTCCGTTTTTGCAAAATGGCTTTCTATAAAAAGTTATACGTGTTTTAAGTTTTGAAAATGTGTGAAATGGTGAAAATGCGAAAATTTCAAGCCGAATCCTTTATAGCCAGGGATGCTTTTATAAAGATTCTCTCACGGATCTCAAGCGTGACCTGATAGGGTAGTGGATAAGACGCTTGCATACAAAACGAGCGGCACATGTTTTGCTCGAGTTTGATTCGTTTTTTTGGCAAAACTTTTGCTTTGCATTTTTAATGGCTTTAACATCTGAATCTTATCTGGCCTTAAAACCACTTTGAAATGTTTATACTAGACTTCGGAAAACAAAACTTTAACCAAAACCAAAACCACCAAAACCAAAACAGACCAAAAACAAAACCAAAACCAAAACTAACCAAAACTCGCCAATATCTCGCGATTGGGAGAAGCTAGCGAAAATCTGTTTGCAGATTTGAAATCAGCGTCCAAAAATCTATCCCATAGGCTATTTTTTGTTTCGAAATTTCGAGGTCGTGTTTTGGTCCTTTTTTCGGCCGCGAGATTTTGGGGAGTGAGGAAAAGTGAAAGGCAAATTTGCATTTTACATTAAAATTTGCATTTTACAATTTTAAATTCACATGTTAATTTCTATGCAAATTGAGTTTTGGTTTGTTTTGGTGTTTTGGTTTTGGTTTTGGTTTTGGTTTTGCCGAACTCTAGTTTATACTATAACCCGGTTCATTCGATTTCTTGACAATCCCTCCATGGTGCCACTTTTTATGGTTTAATTTTAGAAAGCCCTTATAAAACCCTTATAAAACCCTTATAGAACCCTTATAAAGGCCCTATTCGGCTCAAAATTTTCGCATTTTCACCTTAAAACTTCAAAACACGTATAACTTTTTATAGAAAGCAATTTTGCAAAAACGGAAAGCAAATTCGAAATCAACGTGAGATTCTGCGTCGAATGGCTCATCTTATTTGACCACATTCTACTGTTGCCTTTCTCTTGTTAGATTTTTAAGCTTTATCTACATTTTCTGAATCTACATCTACCTCTATAATCCCAAAATGATCGGTCTCATATTCTTCGGATCTCGTCGTTGCGATTGAGGCCAATTGAAGGAGTCCGGGTAATCTGAGAGGGAGATTTTGAACAAAAATCGTATGCTCGATGCGTTTTCACGTTTTCAGATACATTAATCATAAAGAAACGTTTAGAACTAACCCTCTAATTCTGAAGCAGACGAGATCTGCCTCAGCCTCAGCCTCATCCTCATCATCCTCTTCGGTGACATCGGAATCATAGCTCTCCTCAGTGCATGTTGATCTGTAAATTAAAGTTATCGAAAGCGTTCATCTTTCAAAGCGAAATTCAATCTGTTGCTTTAGAATCGACTGATTTAATCAAAAGCTTCAAAATAATTCGAATTTTAGTTTGTTTCTATCAAATAAAAAGTCAAATCAAAGTAATCAAAGTGTTAACTTTTTGAAAACTACTGAAAACTGTAATCCTGACTCTACCGAACTAATGGACTTGATCCTATGACGGTTCAAAAAGATAGACTAAAGCTACTGAAAAAACAATAGATCCTTGACCTCTACCGAACTATTGGACTCTGATCCTATGACGGTTCACAAAAGGAAACTACAGAAATCTAGCTCAATTGAATAAAGGATAAAGTTAGAGAATAGATTCTATAGATTCCTATCTATAGAATCCATTCTCTAACTTTCAGAAGTTGACAAGTTTTCGAAAAAAGCGTGAAAGGAATAAACCAGCCTTGCTTTATTGACCTCATTCATTACCTTGCTTTCACCGTTTCTGTCTCATCCTCGACATCACTTTGCTCCCTCACTTCAGTCAGTTCAGAGCCAAACTCTGAAATGTTTTGATAACAAATATCCAATACTCTAAACAATTCATTTACCATCAGCACTATCGCGTCTGCTTCGAGTCCTGTAAAGTTCATCCTTTCGATTCGCAAACTGTCGATAGTACTCATCGTTGTCCATATCCCATTCCGGGGATTTCTTCTTGTTATCTGAAAAAAGTCAATATTCTTTTAAAAGTGTCAAAATTCTGTACCTTGTCCTTCTGTAACTTGTCCTTCGGTCTCTGGATCGGGTTCCTCAATGTTCGGCCTCAATCCATGCACTAGATCGAACACACAAGAGTACCACATGAAGAACATTTTCTCTGACTCTTTCGCGGTGCTCAAGAAAATGTCAATTGAGTTTTTCTTCATATCTAAAATGAAACAGGAAGTAGGAAAAGATAAATAAATCTTAAATATTTATAGGGTATTATGGTACTAAAGCAGCTATTGTTACTGCTACATTTTGGTTATTCATAGAGTGTTCTTTGTGCACGAACATTGATCTGGCCAGGAATTCCCACCAGAACCCTAATACCGTAAAACAAGTCAGATTTTGTTTCTAATAGAACTAATAACTAGTAGTAAGGATTGTTAGGTCCTTCAGTAAAGCCAGGGGCCAGGAGCAAACCAGGGCTTGTACCTGGCCCAGTCTAATCTGTTCGACCAAAATTTGTGCACGAACATTGAAGCTTGGTCTGGTCAGGAATCCCCACCAGGATCCTAATACCATAAAACAAGTCAGATTTTGTTTCTAGCAGAACTAGTAGTAAGGATTGTTAGGTCATGCCTTCAGTAAAGCCAGGGGCCAGGAGCAAACCAGGGCTTGTACCTGGCCCAGTCTAATCTGTTCTGGCATCTGTTCTGTTCTGTTCTAATCTGTTCGACCAAAAATTGTTTTAAATCGCATCTGGAACCTGGTTCAGGTTGTACTCATTCTTTTTGAATAAATAATAAACAGTAAAGTGTACCAGAAAAAGGTAAGGTTTTTCGTTAAGTTTATGTAAGTATTTGAAGTCGAAAGCTCACCAGTAAGTCGATCAATTCCTGGTTCCACGGAGAAGTTGACCGCGCCCCTCTTCGCTCGATCGACCACCAATTTGTAGACATCTCTTCCCATCAACGAGTACATGGAACAAAATCTGGATTTTGACTTTTGAAAGTATTGCTTTGTTTTCACAAACTTGACTTTCTTGATGCTCAGAATGCTGTATTTGTCAGCGCCCCAAGTGTCCGGGTATTCGAGGGGCTAAACGTGAAATTAAAGTATTAAATGAGGCTTTACCAAGCTTTAAATGCGTTTAAAAGTTAAAAAATTAACCAATTGTAAGTTTTAATATAAGTTTTAATATAATATTTATTAATTTATTAACACTTTAACACTAACCATAATCGTTTCCAGTGATAACTCTTCCCTGTAATTCTTTCCGCATCCGATTAAAGCGGCGCTGTGCGGAGAGAACTCGAACGAGCAGACAGAATGCAAATTTGCGAACTAGAAGATGAATTGACACGTTGAAATCAAGATCACAATTACTTTCAATTGATGATTCGCATTCATGTTGTACATTCGTCGATAAACCGAATCGGTTCTCCTTCGTTTCTCATCGAAATCATCCTCATCATCAAGTAGTGATGAGGTGTCCTGAACTTAGTTTTTTCAGCTTTAAAAAAACAATTAATACTTGTTTAAACTTGCTTAAAATGGTTTCGTCTATTATATTTGAGCTTTTGCTAAATAAGCAAAATGTTTGATTGGAGGCGGAGTCGAACCCTTGACCTCTCGCATTTGGTGCGAGCGCGCTAACCACTAGGCCACCAGAGACTTGCTGACTGGAAGATTAAGAAAGGTTAAGTTTAAGGGAAGTTTAAGAAAGCTTAAACTAATCCAACAGATAACGCCTTTTAGCTATCTAACCTATATATAATCTGGAAATGTCAATCAGGATCAATGGCGGGTTATGGCCGAGTGGTTAGTGCCCTTGCACCGAATGCGAAAGGTCACAGGTTCGAATCCAACTGCGGTCAAACATCTTGCCTTTTTACCAAAAACTCAAATATAATAGAAAAAGCCTTTTTAAGCCAAAAGAAGCACTGTTAATTTTGCTCTGGACTCGACTATGCACGTTTTCGTTGTAGTTTTAGAAAAAGACTGAAAATTTTACAAGTACCAGTCCAAATAGAGCTGGAAATTTGAAAAATGAAGGAAAAATAGTAACTGCATCTAATAGTAAGACTAGATCTGGGGGGAAAAACTTTGCAAATTGTTACTACCAAGTTTTTTCTCTCTTTACAAACCCGATCAAGAGCCGACGAGCCGGGCAATGAACGAGACGCTCCTCGATTTGATGGCACATCAAGCTGGTTTTCTGTCTGAAAGACAAAACAATTGTTTTGCTGACCCAACCCAATCACCTTATTTCCTTTCCCAGCTTCCAATAGCTCCTTTTCCGTTTGATCAAAATTCTCGTCTTCTCGTTCATTTCCTTCAAATTCTTCATCGTCTTCATGTGCATATTTTTCTCTCACTCGCTCCTCGATATCTTTCATCATTTCGATACAATGAGATTTTGGTGCATTGAAAAGTTGATATCTTAATTTAAATATGATAATCATTTTTTTTTTTATTTGACTACTTTCGATGTCTCCACGGGTCATCACTTGTACTAGCCGGGGTGGGCGTTCGATTGTGAGCATAGAATGGGCTAACTGGGGGTTCCAAAGAGAGCTGAAAATGAGATTAGATATCCGGAGATGGGACAAATGCTACCTTTTCTTGCGCACCTGGACATTTGCGCAGCTTTTTTTTCGCTGGAAAAGACCTTAGGAAAGACCGTAGAGCTTCAAAAATCTTTCTCTATAAGAGAATCGTATGCGTAGATTCCGAATTTCGATAAATAAGACCCTCGCTGACACGTCAACTTTGGGCTAAAAGGCAAAAACTGCAGAAAAGTGTTAAGCTGCGTAGTTTTTGCCTTTTAACCCAAATTTAACGTGGCAGCGAGGGTTTGATTTATCGAAATTCGGAATCTACGCATACGATTCCCTTCTAGGGGAAGATTTTTGAAGCTCTACAGCCTTTCCTAAGGCCTTATCCAGCTAAAAAAAAGATCACATTTGTCCCACTCCCAGATATCCCAATTTTGTAGTCAATTAGTTTGTTTGATAATAAGTTTATCTTTGACCTTGATAAGTTTATCGCACGAGAGTAGAAAACAGAATTTCACTCTATGCAACCTAGTCTTGATCTTAAAACTTTGCAATCTTCAAGCAAAGGATTTCAAGGAAAAAGTTTGAAAAATTAAATTGAACAATCTTGCATCTTTTAAGTGTTATAGCTATCAAAGATTTCAAAATTTACTTCTTTTACTTGTTGCAGATAGAGATCCGGACAAGAGAAGCGTCGCCTCAATGCTGGCATCTCTTCAATCACTTCAAGTGGATGAGGACAGTCCAAAGATCGAGAAAGTGGTGGCGATAACTAATTTTTTTTTTGTTGTAGATTTACAAATTTAGCTTCAAAACTTGTCTTTCCAATCGCTTTGTTCCACTTAATTTATTCGCTGGCTCTTGCTTCCCCCCAACAGAAAGCCGTCTCTTTTTCATCATCGCTCAAATCTTCGAAGCTTGGGAGCAGTTTTGGTTCGCCAAGGGATCCATTAGGAACACTAAAATTAGGTTTTTAATGTGTCTAAAGTTATCAATATGGGATTTAAATTGAAACTCACAAACTTGTCCTCCTCTCAATGATTTCTTGAGTGACATTCGACTCACTCAAACCCAAAGTTGATAGCTCAACGTAACTGCCTCCAGTGCGTAAGCGATGAGGCGATTTTGTCTAAAGGTATTCAGCTATATCAAGTGTATAATGTTTTAATTGTAAGTAAGCGATACAGTACAACCTCGTTAACCATATTAGAACCATATTGGAACCATATTGGAACCATATTAGAGCCATATTGGAACCATATCCGAACCATATTGGAATCAAATTGGAACCATTGGCAAATTATTGAGTTGGGGAGTATGAAATGGCGGCGTTATCGGACGAACTTTTGAACAAAAACTAAACCATAACTTTTTCTCAAATTTTCTTCTAATAACAATTGAAGCTTTGTTGATTATACGCCAATCTGATGCCATCGCCATCCCAATCTGATGCAGTTTTTAATAAATGGGGATGGATGTGGCAAAGGTCAATTTTTGGCTATAACGTGACGATGTTTGTAGGAAAAATACTCGATTAGCATCCAGTTAAAACGGCTATATTTAGTTTCTCTAAAGTTCCTTTATAGTTCCTATTTAGTTCCAATTTAGTTCCTATTTAGTTCCTATTTATAGTTCTATATTTTATTTAGTTCCTTTTGTCAATTAGCTTTTTCTGTTCCTATTTGCTTTTGTTCCATTTTGTTCCAATTTAGTTCCTATTTAGTTCCTATTTAGTTCCTATTTAGTTCCTATTTAGTTCCTATTTAGTTCCTTTAAAGTTCCTTAGGATATAAAGATTTAAAGATATAAATCAAGTTTGATAATAAAAGTTAAAGATTGAAAAAAGACGTGACTGAGTTTTGGGAATAGTATCCTCAAAAATATCTCCGGTATTCTCAAAAAGTGCCAAGTTCTTATTCGAAAATTTTTGGTCAACGAATTTTGGTCAAAATTTTAATTTTACATTTATTTTGGTTAACAAGTTTGTCCAAAAATCTTGGCTTAAACAGTTTTCAAATCTAGCAAATTGTTGCAAATTTTTAGTGGTTTGAATTTTAAGGGAAAATTAGACAAAAACTAACTTAGGCGACTTTTCAACACATCCTCTCTCATTTCTCAAAAACTGTGCATCAAATTGGGATGAAATTTCGGCGTAATTGGGATGAAATCAACGAAAATTCAATTGTTATTCGAGAAAAATCTGAGAAAAAGTTATGGTTTAGTTTTTTTTCAAAAGTTCGTTCAAAGACGCCGCTATTTTATACTCCCGAACCCAACACCAAGTTCCTAGCTGACTTTAGTAAACGAATTCTAGAACTTCAATAGTTTATATTAGGTTGTCCAGTTATGAATGCGCGTTTTTACTATTTTGTAAATTTCTCAAGATACCGAACAGATGTATATGAGTGTTATATATCATTCGAAAGCTGAAGGTCTCCTCTAAATTTTGATATCAAAAGTTTTTGAATTGATTCAACTTTTTGGGAAATTGACTGCACAAAGGGAGAGGTCGTTTTCGAAAAAACCCATTCCAGCTTAGCTATTCCTCAAGTTTTATGGTGTAAAATAACCGCCCAGAAAAGAAAAGAAAAGTAAAGATGCTCTGAAATTGTTATATTTTTAAAAAAAAATTGTATTGATATATCTATTGGCCAAACATCAAACGGTTAACTCAATTTGAGCGGAGCCAAAACTTGATCCAAAGGCACCCTTCCATTTTTTGGCCACCTCTTCTTCTGTGTAGTCAATTTGCCCAAAAGCTGAACAAATTCAAAAACTTTTTATATCAAAATGTAGAGGAGATCTTCAGCTTTCGAATAATACTCATATATATCTTTTTCTTGATTTCGGTATCTTGAGAAATTTACAAAATAGTAAAAAACGCGCATTCATAACTGGACAACCCAATATTTGAAACTCTTTGGTGAACTAACATTGAAAGTAAAGCATTCTATTAGTAGCTTACAAACGAGGTCCTACTGTAGATAAATATAAATATTAATCGAATACCAAAAAGTGAAGATCTCCGGGTGATGAGATAAAGACGCGAGCCATTGCTTCGGCTCCTTCAACATAGACGACCAGCTCATCGGCTCGCATCGGATTGAAACGGATTCGGAACGACGTGCTCAATGGGTGTTGGCACTAAATTTCTTGTTGTTGAAATATTCTGATAGCTTATTAAATAAACTAAAATACTATAATATCTTGAATCGGATTTGAATTTTTCTAAATGATTGGGTAGTTTAGAAAAATGCGCTCGGCGAAAATTGGCCAAATTATTCAGTTTAAAATTTCGAAAACTTTTCAAATTCGATTCCGAAACCAATTCTTGATAAATAGTTCCCATCTAAACTCACTTGTGGACTAATATTGACAATTGATATGGGACACCAGAGAAGCCTTCGATCGAAAATCAGCACCGAATCGGTGGTGAGACAAGCGAACGCTGTTGGACGATGAAGATTTGCACAAATCGCTTTCAACTCTAGTTTTTAAGATAAAAACACTTTGTTTTGATCAAATTCTTACCGCAATTCACGACATACAGAATCCCAATCGGTGTCGACGAAGCACTGATCTCAAAGAGCCGAATCGTTCTTGATGTCACCAATAGGAGCATGTCCGGATTGTCACTAAAATTAGCTTTGTTTAGATTAGCTACTAAATTTTACTATTGTTAAGGTCGAATTAAATTGTTTTTTTCAATACTTACTAAAACCAAGTTGTTCCAACGTGTTTTTCTTTTGTCACAACTGAGAAGAGAAGCTTCGTTTCTTGCGTTTCCTCATTTTGTGACGCCAAATCATAGGCAGAGATGACGATATCGTCTTTTAGAGGCCTGAAAAACGATAGAAAAAGTTCAGTAAGTTAAGAAGAGTTTTTGGCTTTATTTGGCGTTCTATTCTAATTCAACTGTCAGCTTCTAACAATGATCTCAAAGAGCGTTCTATTCTAATCCAACTCTCAGCTTCTAACAATAAGAATGATTCAAAAATTACATTGAAATTTTCTTCAAATATTGTTCTTTCAAAACACTGTTTATCTACTTATAATAAGCGTTTGAAAGCTATCTTTAAAGGGCCTGATCAAGTCTCTAACTGAATTACTCAGTTCTGCACAATCATTTGCACATCAGAAGTTTTAGTGCTCAGTTCTTTTTGATTTGTTGATCATGTACTCACGCGTAACTACCGTATTTATTTCTAATCGAAGTCTTCTATTTTTCAACCACACAAAATCGGCCGAAAAAGTCGGTAACGGCTCCCCCACATGACTCAAAAATTTCAAAATTGTTAAAAACTATTTTAAACAATAGCCCTTGGCTCAAAACATGTCAAAAAACGTGTTTGAAAGTGAAATTATTTCCTTGCCTGGACCCCATAGAAAATCTTCCAAAAAACCATGTGGGGGACCAATTTTTCAAAAACTACATTTCCAATTTTACTGCTAAAGCTAAAATACATCTATCTGGAGCCATATCTATAACTTTGGCTAAAAAGAAGTCCTGGAAAGTCCCGATTTTGAGGAATCAGGGAGGGTGATCTTCTATTGGAGACTGATCTTCTATTGGAGACTGATCTTCTATTAGAGACTGATCTTCTATTAAAGACTGGTCTTCTATTAGAATAAATACGGTAATAACTATTTGATATGTAGATTCAAGCAGGTATTGCTTTTCTTTTATCACTTACCGATATCTCGTCACCACCACCCAACAGGTTTCCACCGGATTTATCATCGCATCAAGTACCGGACTTCTTTCTGCATCACCGCGTATCAAATATGATCGATGATTGATCTCCCTGAAAGAATCTGTAATCATTTTTATCTTTATCTCCAAACCATTGTCCTTCCACGTCTTTTTGAATAAGTGGAACGGTTACACGAACACTTCCATCGAAAAACCCCGTCGCTGACAGAGCGGAAAGCTCGAGAAAAGTTTGAGAAGTGACACGGCTCTGAAAATTTCACAAAATATTAAAATTCATTGTATAAAGTATTTAATAGAAGTCCGATTTTTGCTAAATTTTCTACCTTTTTATCCTCGAACTCATTTTTGAGGGGAAACGAGCAAAGGAGACGCGCGTTCTCCAACTGTTCACTATTTGATGCCTAAAAATTTTTCATTAGAATGGTGAAATCTTTGAACAATTATTCATTCTCTTTAAAATTTTATTGATTACCTGCAAAAAAGTCAAGCCTATCCCTGTTGTAAGCTTGTAAGAGACCCTCTCCAACGAATCGCACCTCGAATGGCGGGTACCGAAGGCTGAAATTTTCGAGTTTATTGGGTCAACCCTTTTTTATTCGTTGAGTTCAGTACTATTCCATTTATTTTTAGAATAGGTCAAGTTCATTAATTTGTCCTCGCTTTGTGTGCTTTTTGTCAAAACTCACTATAGCTTATAAAAGTTAGGCACTTGTAACTTTTTAAGTATTAGGTTGAGTACTAAGTCTTTTTCCCAAATTCATTTTCTACTTGAATAAGTCTCAAGCTACCAAATAAAATACGGTTTTTTTTTCATTGAATAGCCCAATCATTTCTCTTGCAACTGACTTTTGAAAGTTTCTGAAAAGCTTTGTTTTAAAGGTTTTTCATTAGTAATAAACCGAGTATTCAAAAACGATAAAAATCATGCGATTTGGACCGTTTCTTCGAATGAAACCTATTTTGATGCAAAATAGAAAAGATAGCGCACAAAAAGTTACGTTTACTTTTGTGGAACTTTTTCAAGAAACTTTTGTGGTTATATTTGAAGTAGACCTTCAAAAGCTACTAACTTACATTTGTTGCGGGAAAATGTTATCCTTGTCGATATGTTCGTTTTTGTGTAAGGTCGATTGTCGTGAAGGGAGTTTCAACTTTAGTTTTACCGGTCTTTTCGGGCTTCCACTCTCTGATTTAATCTCATTTTCTTGTTCTTTCATCACTAAAGCAATATTCCATTACATTAGTATGACTTCCAAACTTCTAACAGATTTTATTGAAGGTATGTATTTGAAAGATTAAAACCACAGCTTTACAGTACTTTAAAACTTTTTACATTCACAAAATAAATAAGATCTTCTCATACCGATTGAAATCTTTGATGAATGCATAATTTTTGAATCAAAAATTTATTCACTCGATCAAAAAAGACTAGAATTTTTTGGCAATAACATTGTGAGCTGAAAAATACTTGGCATAAAAATAAGGAAAATAGAAAAATCCTATAAATCTCTTAAAAAACCTAAGTTTTTCGGCTAGAACCTGGAAGTACGATAATCACAACACCAAAACTGCGAGATAAATGAGACAAACAAAAATTGATCAACCTAATGATTTGGCACTTTAAATTGATCCAAACTAACCCAAAATCTATAAAATTCAAATAGTAAGTAAATTTCTTCAAAAGCCTAAGTACACTTGCCTAAAATGACCTGAGATTAGAATTAAAAGAGTGGCCAATGGTCAATGACAATGCTAATTGGTAAACTTGCTTCATGATAAAGCTAGTGCAAAATAGAAATGGTATGGTACTTTTAAAGCTACAGTACTCATTCTATTTGGCACTAAAGTATCAGTAAGTACAGCTCTCGTGGAGGTTTCTGGTTTCTCTAAAAGCTCGGCGCTCCCGTCAACCATCGGATCTTCTCGTACGAGATCCAAAACGTGAGCGACCAGGGAGCCTGAAAATTATTTTTATATCTACCATAAATACCCTAGCAGAACGCCTCCCCGATAATGATGGGCGTACAGTCGAATAGTCTAACGCCTAACAGCGGGTTTTTCTAGCTGGATGTTTTGAATCGCCGTGGCGCAGTCGGGATCGCGCTTGTCTACGGCCCACACGGTTCGATTCTCGGGTGTTTCACTCAACTTTTTTTCTTAAAATTTTTTTTAATGGCACAACTACAATATGTTCTAAGGTTTTCTAAAGAGCTTTTAGCTTTATTGGTCAAAACAGCTAGAAGTCAAGTGTTCAAAAACGACAAGATCCGATGATGCGATTTGGGCCGTTTCTTCGAATGAAACCTATTTTGTTGCAAAATAGAAAGATAGCGCACAAAAGTTAGGTCTACAACTAAAATTTCAGAATAATCCGTTTAGCGGTATTCTTTAGGTGCTCATTTTGCCCGTACAGACAAACAGACACTGCTATTTTATATATAGTAGATTTAGGGTAGCAATTCCTTTAAAATTTATTGCTGACATGGCAGTTCGCTGGCAATTAGAGCATTGTGAATAATTATACAATTTAAACAAATTAGTCTTTTAGACCATTGATCGGAATGAATAAACTGTGAAAATAATAAGTAAAGTAACTCCCTCTTTTAGTCTTTCGGCTATCAAAAATTACGGTGCTTTTGAGCTTGAAAAGCGCACTTTAGCAAAGCTACCGCAATCCAGCTGACTAATTGTAAACCTAATTTTCCTATATTTCATAAAAAAACCCGATTTTCTTTTATACGTCAATGGGAAACCAACCATTCTCACGTAAGTCGGAACAAATCCTCGATAAAGCGCCCAGAAGCCCTCTTTGCGCACAATGTGCATCAAGCAATCGATGCTTCCACGGTGGATTTTTGATGGCTTTCCAGAGGAACTAAAACAAAAAATAGTTCTCAATTGTATAAAAGTCAGCCTTCAATACCTGTCGTGATCATGCAGATGTCGTATTTGATCCATCATTCTCGTTTTCACCACGTCTGCCGGTGTGCTTACAATTGCAGCCATTAGACCTGAAATTTAAAAAGTCACCAAAATTTGGCTTACTATTAGGATCCAGTTTTGGTTTTTAAACAAAGATTTGTAAGCTTACCAGAACAGGCACTCGATATCCCATGCGTCAATAGATTGTCCTTCATTCCAGCATTCTGGATAAGCCAGTGCTTTGCTCGATCGTACGTGGCCAAGTCTGAAAAGGTTGTAATTGAAATCGAATTGATTGCACTTGAGGTGCGTGTTTATATGTTGTTTAAATGTTTCATTAACAGGCTTCTAGGGAAACCCAGGGAAGTGATTTTGAACTTCAACACAAAGTTGCATATACAGTGCCGGACAAAATTATAGGCCCAAGAGTTTTTAGAGGAAAAACGACCAGTCCATTCTGAAAATTACAAAAAGTCCAAAGTTAAGTTTATTATTTTTTCATAAATCTAAAGTAGTATCACTCAAAGTAAACAAAGAGCACGGACTTCTTTTTTCAAATTTTTCTTTAAGAAACTTTTGCAGGGACCCTTACTTGGAAATTTTAAAAAGACTGGAATGTAAGTAAGTATTTAACAGAAGATATGCTACTGAGCCAAAAGTTTCAGGTGTAAAAACCTCAAAGATTATTTCTACAATTTACAAAAACTTTAATGTTCTCTCCTTTGAAAAATTACAGACCTAAAGACCAAAAAGTTGAGAAAAATGTAGGAAATTTTTGGGTTTTTTTATTCTCTTAGGTCTGTAATTCTTCAAGGAGGAGACATGAAAGTTTTTAAAACTGTTGAAATATAATCTTTGAAGTTTTTTTACACCTGAAAAACTTTGCTTCAGTAGCATATCTTCTGTTAAACTACTTTTACATTCCAGTCTTTTTAAATTTCCAATGTAAAGGTCCTATAATTTTGTCCGGCACTGTATAATACTAACCAGCCATATTGAGTAGAGCGGCTCGTTGACACCCGGCACCCATCCCATCCATAAACCGAAGAATCCATGAGATCGGTAGACTGATCGGAATGCGTCCCAAGTGTTTGTGTATCTGGAAGTCACCCACTTATATGTCGTCAATAAATTTATACAATCGGTATCCTTCTAATTGTAAGGGTCCATGATGGCTTTGACAATTTTACTAGCAAAAAATCAGACTAGACCTTGTTTCTGTTAGCGTTAACATCTTGTTCGCTTAATTCAGCACACCTGACTGAATTGCTCATGAAAAAATACTTGCATACCGTGGCGGTAAATTCGCTAATTTCCGTAGTCCTTCCATCTGCATTTGAACCTTCACCAAATCGGTGGGACTCGCAAAGAATTGAGCGACGGCGCCAGAAACGAGGCCGCATATGGCCGATTTCCTAAAAATGGCATATGATTCTATGAAAACCAAGGAAAACTTATCTATTTAAACGCAATAAAGCTCAATTTACTCACCAAACAGGGAACTGGGCCTCCTTTTCCTCATTGTACCACTCGGCGCGCATGAACTCGTAAGCACCCATTCGAATACCCGTGTACACTAAAAATAAAATTAAAAGATGAATTGCATGCTTGATTTTTAAAGTTAACTATCCTTATCATTATTAGAATTTTACAAGTAAGTATCTGGCTAAAATTAACGTTCAGACCAACCATAATGCCTGGAGATCGCCGGCGCCACTCCTCGCCACAAGCTCATCGCTCCCTCGTTTTTGACTGAAAGCATTCATGTTGAAAGTTTAGCCGATTGTTGTTTTAGCGTTGAATACCGTAAAAACTCTAATAGAAGCCCCATATAGGAGGATCGCGTTAAGTTTAAATTAAGTCACTCAAAGCATTAAGTTTACTCTCAAAAAAACGCTCATATCTCGACACCATTTAGCATTTGTTTCTGTTCCTTAGTACTGAGCTTAAAGTAGAGAGAATGGGTGTTTTTTTATATAACAGATATTTTTAAAATTAACCAGCGCTTAGAACAAAATGATTGAAGTGTTGAAAAATCAGCTCTTTTTAAACTTTCAATCATTTTGTTCTAAGCGCTGGTTAATGCTAGAAATATGTATTAGATCTGAAAAAAATCACCCATTCTCTCTACTTTAATTGATACCTAAGCGCGCAGAAAAAACGTACTGGTGTCGAGAGTATGAATGGTTCTTTGAGGCTTAGATCACGTGACGCTCCTATAGGGGTTCTATTAGAGTATTTACGGTACTCTTTCTCCCAAAAACATACCAATATCGTATGTGACTCTGAGCATTCCGGTCGCTTTCTACTCGTGTGTCCATGCGGTCCATGGCGCACAATTTGGAGCCTCTCGTCTTTGTGATATCCAGTGGGTAAGTAACCAAAGAAAACAATTGAGTTATCCGGTTATATTATATATTAATAATATGCGGATTCAATACTTAACTATTTTACCACAAATGATCATTATTGAATTAGAGTTACTTAGGTTAAACATAAAGGCCTGGGTCAAAATGTATCAGTTGTCCCAGCTAAGCCAGTCAAAAACTAAATCTAGCCTGAAATGTCATTGAGTTGGACCTGATACCAGATGGAGTTTAACCCGGTAAATTTTCTTTAAACTTTAAACAAACTTCTTAATATACTCTAAATACTCTAATAGAATGCCACCCCCTTGTACAGTCGTGTAATCTAACTTTTTTGGGAAAATCCTTTTTTCTCAGCCCCCAGATTTTCCCCACCTACACTTTTGATACCAAAAAATACTAGATTCCAAGGGCAATCATTTGACACCCAAGCGCACACTGTAAGATGAAGTAACGCGGAGAACGGGACGTTCAAAGTTAGACCACGCGATTGTAAGCCTGTAATTATGGGGGTGGCGCCCTATTAGAGTATTTTACGATAAGTATTCTCACCAGTTTCCGCAACCACCGCAGCTGAGCAAGACAAGGAATATTTGAGGGCGATCTGTTGGGGATTCAAGGGACTCTTCTCTCTCCAGTCGGAATATGTGGCATTTTTGTTGACTATCTATATCTAAAATCAATAACTTTTATTATCTAAATTAAAAGCCCCACCTTTGTACTAGAAACAATTGCTTTAATGTCTCTGAGGACATTGATGAGCCGCTTCGGGTCGGATGGAGAAGTGCTCAAAACTTCACTCTTATCTGGAAATAATTTTGTTATAGAAAAGGTAAAGCAATTATTTTGGGCTAAAGCTGCTGATAAGTCTATCACTTTCTGCACAGATTTAACGACAGAAAATTTTGAATGTGCAAAGGGTATGGAAGGGAGACGTCATTTGGTGTGCTATGTACTTTGTATGGAGAAAAGGGTAGAAAGCAGTTTGACTTACAGTCAACTACCCAAAACATTGTGAACAATGGTGGGCCAAGCATGACAATTCGATGAAGCCTATGAAAAGATTCAATTAGTTGTGTTTTGGTTTGACTTGGAACTGTGCATCGACTTTCCGACCCCGGAAAACAAATTCACAGCTCACAAAAACTTTCTTCACTCACTTTCTTTTGTACCATTTACAAAGCAAAGAGAGAAATCCCTTTGTAAATGACTGGGAGGTGTTCCTTGTGTGCACTCTTTGTGTTTCTTAGAAAACATCTGAATCAAGAGTACAAGGCCAAAGGAAAGCCAGGGTTGTTCAAAGTGGATTTAGTTAAAACAGCGCCATAACAGAAAAGATTCAAAACAGCGCCCTCAAATTTCTTATATAATAATCCATAAAAACCACAAAAAAAGTGAAAATTCTGAAAAATTAACTTTTTAAGAAATTGTTTCACCTATCATGTAGCCAAGAACGCAAGGATATTTTTGGTCTAAACTTAGCCGGCTTGGTTGGTTTTTGGATTTTGAGAAATTTGACGGCGCTGTTTTTAAATTACATCCCGAATAAGCTATTAAAATTTGACTTGTTTCAATAATCTAAACAATTTTACTTGTTTATATTTCGCTCAAAATTGGCTATATTTTTGCTACAAATTCTACATTCACCAGCTAAACAGGGAGAAAAGTGCATCTTACGTTCGCGCGAAAATGCATTCTCTGTTAAAAATCACTGGCATTTGCGTTTTTAGACCCAAAAAATGCGCTGATTCAAAAAGTGATAGTTTTCGTCTTGTAGATTTTTCTAAAAATGGACTTTTATAAAAAGGTAAAAATCTGAAATTCGACTCTTCTTTTCGGCTTAGTTTGCGAGTGCTGATGATCACTTTTTCTTTGAAACTTTAAACATTCAAAAGGACGCAAATCTCGATTTTAACTCTTGACTTTGTAGTGATATTTCACGAGCTGAAATATCACTCCAAAGTTAAACAGTATACAGTGAAAGTTATACGAAACCATTAGCAACTATGGTGCATCAACTATTTTTAAAAGATTTGAAACAAAAACAACGGTATTTTGATATTTCAGGAAAAACTAGTAGCATTTCGAACGCGTTGAGTCCAAATTGCCCAGTCGGTGCTTTATACGGTGCGTAAACTACCTACAACGCGTAGGTAGTTTGTGCAAGCTTAAGTGCAAATTTTCACAAGAATTACTTGTGTTTTACTTTTGGAAATCACTATTCGCTTATTTCTTCTCAACGCATTCGAAATGCTACTAAATTTGAGCTTAAACGTAAAAGTAAACACCACCCAATTGCTGCCTTGATGCGCCGAGTTCTATTTGTCCAGGTCGTCCGTTCAAGTTGTTTTTCTAAACAAAATCGTCTGCTCATAAAATCAATAAAAAAACTTAACTTTGGCCGTATTGATGATCTACGGAAGAAAAAGAAGCAGAAACAAGAGAATAGTGATTTCCGAAAGTAAAACACAAGTTGTGAAAGTTGTTGTTAAAGCACGTAGGCTACGGTAGCTTGCGCACCCTATAAAGCACCGACTGAGTGATTAGGACTCAACGGGTTCGAAATGCTACTAGTTTTTCCTGAAATATCAAAATGCCGTTCTTTTTGTTTTAAATCTTTTAAAAATAGTTGATGCACCATAGTTGCTAAGGGTTTTGTATAACTTTCACTGTATACTGTTTAACTTTGGAGTGATATTTCAGCTCGTGAAATATCACTACAAAGTCAAGAGTTAAAATCGAGATTTGCGTCAATGTTTAAAGTTTCAAAGAAAAAGTGTTATTGAAACTTAATTTTTTTTGTTTATTTACTAGTTTTTTTTTGTTTATTTACTAATTTTTTTGTTAGAGCTGTTAGAACTGTTAGAACATGATTATAACAAAAAAAATACTTTAATTGATCATCGGCACTCGCAAACTAAGCCGACAAGAGGAGTTGATTTTGAATTTTAGACTTTTACAGTCAAAATTCGGCGGGTCCTGGGTGGCAACAACTCGGACGCAAGTATTTAGAGTCTCTTTCGAGTAACTACGGTGAACTTTGGTGGTGAAGCGGTCATGGTATGGGGTAAGAGACTCTCTCTTGTTATGTATATTAATCTTGTTTTTTAGGAGCTATGGCAAGAAGTTCACCGGGTCCACTGGTCCTTCTCAACTCGACTCTTGATGCCTAGCGCTACAAGACGATCCTGGAGAACAAATTTCTTCCTTTTGCGACCGCAGTTTGAGTGACAATTGCGCCACAAATTTTACGCGATCTAGTTCACAGTATGCCCCGGAGGCTCCAAGCGGTCATTGCAGCTAAAGGCGGACCAACAAAATATTGAATTTTTCGCCTCTATGTATGTGCCGCCAAGACTTTTGTCCATTGTTTTTGTGACCTTTTTGTCTTTGACGCTTATTTTTGTTGTCTAAAATAAACTTTCGAGTTCAATGCTTGGTCATAGCAAAAAATAGAGTAAAAATGCTCAAAAATACTTGTGACAACTTTTTTATAGCCTCTCGGGAAGGTTTCTAAATTTGCGTTTGAAAGTTGCCACCCAGGACCCGCCAAGACTTTTGTCCATGACTGTATTTCGCGCGGATGTGCGTCTGACTTAAGATTTTTTTTCTCTGCGATTTTCTCAGAATTGTGTGGTTCAATCAAATTCTTTGTTTTTTTCAGCATTTCCTGGATGAGTGAACAAGTCCTTCTATGGAACAAGACCCATAGAAGGAGCAATTGTTTTTTTGTTTTTTTCCACCTGTCAAATTCAACCCATCTCCCCCCAAAAACCCATACAAACCTCGCACAACCCGTAATTTTCTACCAACTACAGCGCGTAAAAAAAGAGTGCTTGCACCAATTAATTCCATATTGTTGAACAAAGAACGAGGTGTGAAAAGGATAAACAAAATTGTCTATTGGATTTGTTTTTGCTGTCTTTTGCTCTACAATGACTATTATTAAAGCTGAATTTTTTAGGTCAAGAAGCTAATTCTGAAAGCTGAAAAGGTTAAAACTTTTTATAACATCTCTATCAGCTTTAAATACAATTTACATATTCTTTTGACTACATATTCTTTTGAATAAATTTTCTTTACTCTGGAGATTAGATAAGGCTATGTCTTTTTCCCCATCCCCTTCAGCGACATCCACTTATGATTTCCCTTGTCTTTTGATGGATCATATGTGTGCCGCCACCTACTCGACTCAATCGGATTTTCTCCTTAATGAGATCCTTGACTCCTTGAATTAACACCATTAATCCAGAGGAGATTGCAGGGGTTGATTGAGCAAAATTGAGCTTGAGCAAATGTTAGCATTAGAAATCAAATTAGCTTCAAGTTTAATCGGTTAGCTTATCATTCTAAAAAGTACATGGTGGCTCACAATCATAGCACCACACTTCGGAGAACCTAGTTTGGCCAAAATTGGGTCAAACGTTCTGATTTTTCTGGAGATAAATCTTAGGTATGTCTCCCTGTCTCTCCTGCCCATTATCCAATCGATTCAAGCTTTTAACTTTTTTATATGCCCTTTCAAAGTTGAGAGTCGAATTTCGCTTGGCACACTACTCATTTATGAGATTTTTGAGAGCAATCTTATCAAAATCTCGTTGAGATTGAATTTATTATGTTAATGAACGAAATTTCACATGCTCAACGCAGTTTAAGTGTAAAAAATTCTTGAGAAATGTTACCAAAACCCACCTAACATGATCTGTTTTCACTTGAACGATTTTGGGCATTCAGAAAAGCCACTAAAGAACAAGAAAATCTTATTTTTTCAAGATCTATCGCTTTTAAATTGCATAAGGAAATGTGATTAATTGAAAATCGTTAAAATTTTAGAATTTTTATCAAAAAAATGATCTCAAAGAGATCGTATTGGCGATCTGTCGAACATCTCGATCGCTCAGCTTCTTCTTGTAGTTAGTGTGTAGTTAATGTGTAGTTCCTTTGTGCCATATCCAGCGGGATCTTTCAAATAATTGTTCACCGAAAGTGTTCTTTTGATTTGCTTGGCGATCGAGTGGTTTGACTCTTCCTAACCGCATAGGAACCGTATTGGAAGTGTCGACTTCGCCTTTTTCGTAGTTAGAAAGCTTGGTTCCTCTTGTCATGTTCTAAAAATTATAAAATTATTGTGGTAAAAAAGGGAGATAGAAAAAGATTCATAAAAATTAAAGTGAAGGCAATTTGAATCTAGAATTTTTGATGAGCTCTTTTCAATAAAAAAGAATTCGAAAAGTAGCAGGCTTCTAATTTAAGATATTGCGCTTTTCTTCGATGAACGTAAGCTCTCTGGATTGTTTGCCAAACTGTTTACCTAATCAATGTTAAACCCGAGGCTGATATCATTATTCCATTTCTGGGATAAGGGACAAACACGTTTGCTTTTGGTTTGCTTGCGATCGAGCGGTTTGACTCTTCCTAACCATGGAGTGTGTCGCCTTTTTCGCCGATTTCGCCTTTTCCGTAGTTAAAAAGCTTGGTTCCTCTTGTCATTTTCTAAACTATAAAATTATTGTGGTAAAAAAGGGAGATAGAAAAAGATTCATAAAAATTAAAGTGAAGGTATTGATGATAAACGGTCGTTTTGATACTTGAGTTTTTTGTTTTTGAGTTTTTTCTCTGTGCAAAAATGTTAAGCAATTTGAATCTAGAATTTTTTGATGCGCTCTTTTCAATAAAAAAGAATTCGAACAATAGCATGCTGCTAATTTAAGATATTGCGATTTTCTTCGATGAACATATTGATGTAAGCTCTCTCGATTGTTTGTCAAACTGTTTACCCAATCAATGTTAAACCCGAGGCTGATATCACTATTCCATTTCTGAGATAAGAGACAAAACACGTCCATGTGCGGGAGGTGGTGGATTGGATGATCGAGGTTCGTAAACCCTAATTACCCCCTTTGATTGGATATCAGAGAATCCATCACCCCCACTCTCAGCTATCATAATTCCGAGGCCGAAATTTATGAGTCTTTCCCATAAACACTAAAAAGTCTTTGAGAGAATCGCTGGGTAAGAGGTGAGAGGTGAGAATTTGTATAATATACTGTCCTTGGGGTTGGTCATAAAAATTCTGCAGAGGCTGAGGTGAGGAAGATAGTTGAGTGGATAACTTGAGTGTTCAAGTTGTCTCTTTGATTTTCAAAAGCAAGCCAATGGCGCAATACAATGAGAATCTAGGACCCAGATAGTTACTGACAAGATCATAAAATCTAAGTACCTGTACGTACAAGTACAAAGCAAGTACAAGTGCAAAGCAAGTACAAGTGCAAAGCAAGTACAGGTGCAAAGCAAGTACAAGTACAAAGCAAGTACAAGTAGATGCATCTTTTTTGGGCTCTTATTAGCCTAGAATCTGAAGCTTTTCATGAAAATCCACCAAAAATTGAAAGCACAAGAACCATAAGCTCTATTTTGAGCTCAAAATACTTGATCTCTCCATCTAGTATTGGAAAGCCGATCTTTCACCCAATCCCTCGTACTCTTCTCCATTTCTATATTTTGAGCTCCTTCTGTTCATTTCTCTTTTCATTGCCTTTCCCTTCCCCATTCACCATCTCATTACCTCATCTCTTCCGATCCGTCATTCCACTATTATCATGTCAACACTACGACGACATATGTACGAAAAAGGAAACGAGTAAACAAAGAAAATTCTGAACGGAGTGTGTTCGGTAATTTTCTAAAAGCATCTAGTATAGCTTTAATAGAATTTGGACATAGTTGTAATCCAGAGTTGCAGCTAATCATAATGTGTCATAGCTGGAGCATGAGAGCCGAAGCAATGAGAATCTAGGACCCAGCTCAGAGTTAGTAACTAACTCTCTTGCCTAACACCTTTAAACTTACCAACCATTTTCTAAAATGATTAAAACCAAAAAAAAAGAAAACCACGAAACCCAAGAGGAAATAACAAAAAGATCGCGCCATGGCAGATTATTTAGATTTGCACTTTAGTTAAAAGGAATTGGTTAAGTTTAGTTTATACGGCATGTATGAGCGAATTCAGAACAATGGATTGAAAGGAGCCGAAAAGAAAACGAAATAAAGCCGTATTAGAATTTTAAACGACAAACGATGGGCAAAGAGTATAAAAAGGGGAGAGAGTACTTTAAAAACGCGCTACAAAACATAAAAGATCGATAAAAACATTACGAAGGAGGAAGAAAACTTAGCGGGACTTGGCAAAAAAGACGGACAAAGTTTACGATTTCGTGGAACGAAGGAAAATGAAAAGAATGGCAAAAAGGGACTTTTGTGTGGGGTACGGTAGCGCATCCACGCTTTAAAAAGCGCGCCGCACCGCTTCCGCTCCAGTCTCTTAAAATCGCACATCAACCGGAATCTAACTTCAGATGAGTGCCGATTCGTGTAAAAAGGATTATTAATAAGTTCAGTTTATATAAAAAAAAGCGCCAAAGTGCCAAGAGACCAAGAAAAACGCCTAGAGTCAACCCAAAACCGATTCTATCTACCAATAAATTTCTATCTCTCAAACACTTCTCAAGTCCAACCGTATTCCCCAAAAAATTTCACGCTTAACGCGCACAAAAGCAGTTAATTTTTTTGTGCTTTCCAATGATCGACCACCTGCTTTGGCTCACTCAATTTCTTTTGCATCTAAGTGGGATCTTGGGACAAATCGTTTAATTAGGAGTTGGGTGAAAGGAAAATCCCCAAGGAGGACCACTCTTTGATTTACTCGCTTCAACGATTTCACCAGATTTTCTTCATTTAATGGGTAAAGGCTTAGTGATTAGGAATAAAGATTAAAGTTTCAAGTATTATTAGACATTTTGACCTTTAAACTAGAGTTCGGTAAACAAAACCAAAACCAAAACCAAAACCAAAACACCAAAACAAACCAAAACTCAATTTGCATATAAATTTAAAATTGTAAAATGTAAATTTAAAATTGTAAAATGCAAATTTGCCTTTCACTTTTCTCACTCCCCAAAATCTCGCGGCCGAAAAAGGACCAAAACACGACCTCGAAATTTCGAAACAAAAAATAGCCTATGGGATAGATTTTTGGATGCTGATTTCAAATCTGCAAACAGATTTTCGCTAGCTTCTCCCAATCGCGAGATATTGGCGAGTTTTGGTTAGTTTTGGTTTTGGTTTTGGTTTTGATCTGTTTTGGTTTGTTTTGGTTTTGGTTTTGTTATGGCTTTGGTGGTTTTGGTTTTGGTGGTTTTGGTTTTGGTTAAGTTTTGTTTTCCGAAGTCTACTTTAAACATTTTGCTCTTTAAACATTTTTGCTCTTTAAACATTTTGCTCTTAAACATTTTGATCTTAAACATTTTGATCTTTAAAAGAAGTGGTATTAGATATTTTATCTTTAAAGCTGGCTGTATTTAAGAAGTGACGTTTTTTTGAAGCAAATGAGCAAATTTGAAGCATTTTTTGAAGAACATTGAAGCAAATGAAAGAAGGATATGAAGGAAATCGAATTATTTGGAAGCTATTTGGAAGCTATCATAAAATTTTCCATAAAATTCGTTTAATAAAAAAGAAGACGAAGAAATCTCTGTTTTTTTTTACTCAAGCTACTTAGTTTTATCTATTTTGCTATCCCTTTTGACCTTCACAAAGCAGAAAAAACTATTTTAGATAAAAACTAGAGAGAAACTTATTGTAGTTATTGTTTTGAACTTGTTGGTTTGAAAATTTTGAAAATTTTTGACATTCACAAGGTTTAGAAAACGTTTTCATGTTACTATAGCTGTTGTTTCATTAAATTTGTTTTTCCTGGAGCATTTTTCTCCAATAGACTCGATTTGTGCTGATTCAGAGGAAAATTTTATTAAATCTTCTCGTGAAATGTCAAATGTCAAAAAGGAAAGAAGTGAAAAGGAAAAGTGTTACACTTTTTGTTAGGTCAGCCTTTCGAGAAGATTTTCCAAATGATTAGAATTAAGAATTTTGATCTTCTCATTCAAAATGGCATTCAAAGATTCTTTTGAATAAAACTATGCGTTAACAAAGTTTAAAAAAAAACCTGAGAACACTTTAACCCAGTAGCTGTTCTCCATCTCTTCATTTTCAAAGATGTTCAAAGAATTATGAAACGCATTGTATCACTACCGTAAATACTGTAATAGTACCCCACAAGAGACTCGAATAAAGAGCAATGGATTTGTTGGTTTAAAAATATCTAGAGAATTAAAAGCTGTCGGATTTCAATTCAGAAGTGAGAAAATAGAAAGAAGAGAGCCGAAACATTCAATCAGAACCAGTTTTG